TTACTAGTTAGGTTTAGAGGTATGTTGTGAATTAAGTTCTGGTTCAGGTTAGGGTTAACTATAGACCAGTAATGGTTAATTTTACTAGTTAGGTTTAGAGGTATGTTGTGAATTAAGTTCTGGTTCAGGTTAGGGTTAACTGTAGACCAGTAATGGTTAATTTTACTAGTTAGGTTTAGAGGTATGTTGTGAATTAAGTTCTGGTTCAGGTTAGCGTTAACTGTAGACCAGTAATGGTTAATTTTACTAGTTAGGTTTAGAGGTATGTTGTGAATTAAGTTCTGGTTCAGGTTAGCGTTAACTGTAGACCAGTAATGGTTAATTTTACTAGTTATGTTTAGAGGTATGTTGTGAATTAAGTTCTGGTTCAGGTTAGCGTTAACTGTAGACCAGTAATGGTTAATTTTACTAGTTAGGTTTAGAGGTATGTTGTGAATTAAGTTCTGGTTCAGGTTAGGGTTAACTACAGACCAGTAATGGTTAATTTTACTAGTTAGGTTTAGAGGTATGTTGTGAATTAAGTTCTGGTTCAGGTTAGTGTTAACTATAGACCTGTAATGGTTAGTTTTACTAGTTAGGTTTAGAGGTATAATGTGAATCAAGTTCTGGTTCAAGTTAGGGTTAACTATAGACCAGTAATGGTTAGTTTTACTAGTTAGGTTTAGAGGTATGTTGTGAATTAAGTTCTGGTTCAGGTTAGGGTTAACTACAGACCAGTAATGGTTAGTTTTACTAGTTAGGTTTAGAGGTATGTTGTGAATTAAGTTTTGGTTTAGGTTAGGGTTAACGATAGAGCAGTAGTGGTTAAAAATCAAAACGGCGATGGTCAAAGCGACACATTCTGTTTGTGAATTACTTGAAATCTCTTTTTTTTTGTCTTCCTGCAGAGGTGAGCTTGTTCAACATCACCCAGATCTCAGACAAGGTGCTGCTTCGAATCCTGCGCCACCCCGACGTCATCCAGGAGATCAAGTTCAACGAGAATGACAAGCGCTCGCCTCACCACTACATCTACCAGCGGGGGAAGCCTGTCGACTATTTCATCCTCATCCTGCAGGTACGTGCTCCTCTTAGACACGCCCACTCTAACTTTAGCTCCGCCCCTCTGCCTCCGCTCCACTGATGGATCCAGTTTGTTTACACGAGCGTCGGCCCAAGTATCCCCCTGGGTGGGATTATTACGGTTCGTTGTCTTAATCTCAACTCTTTCACACACGTTTGTTTCCCACACCTCCGCTCGGTCTTGGCTCCTAAACAGTCATTACGTGGGATTCATCTTCTCCTCCGGGAGGTTTTCACGATGGGGGGTCGGAGACTTCAGCTGCCGTGGACCCCACATGTAGACTAATCTTCTGAAGCTTTTCTGGAAAGGATGGCATTTAGTGACGTCTAAATTACATAAAACAAGCTTGTTTTTAAGGCGAAAACTACTGAATGAAGTTAGATCCTGGTGTTTTTTATTGAAAACCTTTGTCTCTTACGATCTTGGGAAGCCTTTGCTTTGGCTCGTGTTTGTTGAGAAAATAATTTTTCTGCTTTTTATATTTGTGAAGTAACCAGAATCAACTCATTGTTTCAGTTTACAGGTAAAAATCAGAGACTTTAATCTAAATTTTAATCAAAAACTGAGTGAGAATTTGCCCAGAAAAAGCAAAGACCACACTCAAACTGTTGTAAAAAAAATCCTTTTTAGATGTTTTCCCAGCATCCTTTGCAGCTGGGACGTCATTCGGTCGCAGAGATGATTTCCTGAGTTTGTTGCAAAATAAAAAAAGAAACAAAGACACACATCTTTGCTTTAATCTGAGGTATACAAATATTTGTTTTTTTTAGTGTTAATGTTTAAATCCGTACTTCCTGTTTCAGTCAGGGTTGTAGCTCCGCCCCCTGGCTTTACTGAAACAAACTGTTTTCTCAAACCTCACCTGTGAAAGAGACATGAAGGCTTTTATCTGTGATCTATGAAGCATTTTGAGTTGTGTTGACTCACGTTTGTCACGTTTAGGATTGATTTATGTGCTGAAGTTTAGTTATTGATTGTAAATCTGACAAACTGTAACTGAGAGGTCTGAAGGGTAGAGAGGGAAACTGAACACAGGAGTTTGGTTTTTAAGTCAAAACTTTAATACTTTTCTGTTTGACACACGGTGGATTGAATGTTAATATGTAAAATTTTAGCGGTTAGCTTTAGCTTCTGAACAATTAGGTTTTTATCGTTAACGAAACTAAGAAAATTGCGTGGCACTGGAAAATTTTGTTATTTTGTTTGTTTAACAGATTTATTAGCAAGGGTTCGTGGGCTGGAAGCTAAAAAGTTTGAAAACTTGTGGGCATGTTTACCATCAAATATTCAGTTCAGTTTATTCATATAGCACCAAGTCACAACAAAGGTTGCCTCAGGACACTGTACACAAAAAACAATAAAGAAGCAGCAGAGTGTGTTGAATCTTCACTTCATCACAGTCTCTCATCCTGAGCAGCACATTGGTGACAGTGAAGAGAAAAAACTCCCTTTAACAGGAAGAAACCTCCAACAGAACCAGGACAGGCGGCCATCTGCCTCAACCGTCTGGGTTTGAGGGGAAAGAGATCCAGATAAACACAGAAGAACTGGTCCAGGTGTATTTTCTACTGGAAGAGAGACAAAAAAAAACATGTTTCTAGCTGTGTTTCCATTGCAAATGTGCGCAAAACTTTATCAATATTCTGTTAATTTCGAAAAAAACACAGTTTCGCAACTGCGGTGTTTCCATTAAGTAAGAAATGCTATTAAAGTCACGCGTGAATATATTTGTTCTCGTGATAAGTCATTACAAACATGGCGGTGATGGATGTAAACACATAGCATGTTGCTACCGTGGCACTAGCGCTCATCATCAGCGGAGACGTCGGCGTCTTTTATCGAGGCTTTCCAGAGACAAGCCCCTACTTGGGAGCGGCTATGTATGCTGTGTTTTTGGGAAATTGTAGTCAGTGAGTTTACTATTTTATACTACTTCTGTGATATTACTACTACTTCTACTTCCTGTTATCTTCTTCATCATCGTCTTTTTCACCAGTAGAAACAGCCGGTTGTTGATCACGTGACTCCCATGATGCGAAAAAAGTGTTTCCATTGCAGTTTTGCGACAAACACCAATTTCGATACGGCTGAAAAACCACCTCATCCTAGCGCAAAAACATTTTGTCGAAAAAAGGAAGTTTTTTCGAAATTGACATGTTTCCATTGAGCAAATTTATTTTTCGAAATTCTAATTTGCGCATTTTCATGGTCAATGGAAACGCAGCTATTGGTAGGATAAAAACAAGCATGTAGAGGAGGGAGACTAAAGACAACACCAGAGTGAGGAAATGTGTCCACTTTGTCCTCCAGCAGTCTAAGTCTATAGCAGCAGAACTAATTAACTATAATAACTAAGGAATAAACCAGGAAACCTAAGTATAGGATTTATCAAAAAGGAAAGTCTTCAGTCTAATCTTAAAAGTAGACAGAATGTCAGCCTCATGGACAGAAACTGGAAGTTGGTTCCACAAGAGAGGAGCTTGATAACTGAAAGCTCTGCCTCCNTCCAGGAACCACAAGTAAACCTGCAGTCTGACAGTGAAGTGCTCTGTTAGGAAAGTATGGAACAATAAGATGTTTAATATATGATGGAGCTTGGTTGTTAAGAGCTTTGWATKTYAGGWRTAATATTTTAAATTCTATTCTGAATTTGACAGGGAGCCAGTGGAGAGAAGTAAAACTGGAGAAATATGATCTCTCCTTCCAACTCTCATTAAAACTCTAGCAGCAGCATTTTTGGATTAACTGAAGACTTCTTAAAGAGTTTTTGGGACCCAGATAATAAAGACTTACAGTAATCCAGTCTAGACATGATAAATACATGAAACAGTTGTTCTGCATTATTTTTGGACAAAATGTTTCTAATTTTAGTGATATTACGCAGGTGGAAGAAGGCGGTCCTGGTAATATGGGAATATGTTTTTAAATAAATTGGAGCATTCCGGATTTATTTACAAGCTTTTTAAACTCCTTTTAAAGGAACAGTTGGCCTTTTTTGTTTCATTATTACGGATGATCTCGGTCAGCAGACGGACGTTTTGTTTCTGACCACAGTGACTCAGACATTTCTCTATGATTCTCACACAAGTTGCTCTAAACAGACATTTTTGCTGCAAAGAATTTGTTTAGTTTCTCTGAGGGGAAAAAAACTGATTTCTAAAGTGCTGCTATTTTTACTGCAGAGACTAAACAAACTTTATCAAATCGTTTTTTTCTCACAGCTGCTGATATTTTATTTTCTGGTTTCTGTTAATGAAACAAAACATTTAAATGAAATCAAAGTATAGTGCAGTTCATTCTGCTGTTCTTCAAAATGAAGGTAATCTTTTTTTAAAATAAATGCTTGATTACCTCAGAGCATCACGAGCGCAGCCCTTCCTGTTGTGAGCTAGAGCTGGAAAAATGCAGTCCTGTGAGAGTAATAAATTTTCCTTGAGTCAAAAAGAGGCAGCTCCAGTGTTCTTGTGTGTCACCAGGATTTAAACCCACCGTCTTACATCCCACACACAAAAAAAAATAAAGAAATTTAGTCGACTTCGATCGGTCGCTCATCTTTACAATATGTGGTTAAAACCCACTAAACACCAGAGGCTGCCTGGACACACGTACGCACACAGAGTCATTCACACACTGGATGAGTGTGTGTGTGTTTGTGGTTGTGACTCCACGCTGGTTTTGTTGTAAGTTATTAATGAGTCTCAGTCCTCTGTGGGGGATTTGCCTCAGCACACACAGTAATATTTAATTCATTCATTGAAGCTCATGAGGACTTCACTCTTCATAAAACCCACAAAACATCAGGTTAAAGTGCTCCTCGCCTCCTCCTGCAGCTTCCTTTATTCACTGTTTGATAAAACCACAACTTCTTTCAACCGTCCCCCACCTCGGTTTGGTTTCATCCCAGCGACAGCAGGTCTTTTCTTCTCTCCTCCCCGTCACAAAGAGCCCAGTGTTATAAACCTGTGGGGATGTCAGTGGCCTGTGTTTACCAGTTTATTATTATATAATAACTTCTGTTGGGACAAAGAGTCCTCCGTGACGTTTATGAGTCACAACCACCCACCCTGAACATTGACCAGGACTCACCTACAGCTCAGGTCCAGTACATGCATGTTAACCCTCTTTACACACACTCATTACACAGCTTTGTGTGTATTTGACAGTTGGAAAGTACGAGGAACGATGACCAAACGTTGCTTTGTGTCGTGAGCTATATTTCAAATTGTTTTCAGATGACACATCAATTTTTAATTTTTTATTTTTTAGTTCTTGGATTGATTTTAAAATAGTAGTTAAATGTCTATATGTGACCCATCACGTCAAAATGAGGAGTAAGTCTAAAAGTGGTATATGGAGAAATAAGCAAATATAGTGTTTTGATTAAAACACTTACAAAAATTGCATTTTGTCTAAATAAAACAAATAAATTCCTTATCGTTGTTTCATTTGAATGAACTGTGTGAAATTTGAATCACTTTTTTGAGCAGTAGTAATGACATAAAAACTGGAATCAGACCAAATATTAATGTATTATCAGAATCAATAAGACAAATTAAGGCATATCTCTGGATCTGTTTATGATATCAGGATGATCCAGTTAACAAACTGTAGCTTTTAAAGCCAGGAATCTGAAAATGTAGTTACTGTAGGTCATTTTGACCCAAATTGATTTAATCCTCATTTCAATATGATGGGTCACATATATATACTTATATCTGTCCTGTGGCTCACGAGATATTTTACTAACAGACAAACAAGCAAAGACACTAAAGGCTGATTTATACTTTGAGTCGCAGGTCTTGATTTTTAGTTTGAAGCCGGTTGATAAAAGAGCCAGAAGAGCAGCTGGTACATATTCACATATTTTTATTTTTATTTTTATCACCACCGTTCACAAAAAAAAGTTTTTCCCTTGCGGACTCTTCGCTCAACACAACACTGATCATTGAGTGAAAAAAACAACAATAACCAGCCATCATTGTTGTTTATATATTTATATGAGCTGTGGGAGGGCAGAGGGAGGAATTGTGACAATTTATGCGCCGCCACATCTTCAGCCCATTTATACTCGGTGAAGAAAATGACGCAATCACCGACCTGCTGTCTCACATCGTATTGAAGTATAACCTAAGCTTAAGTTTGACTGAAGATGATAATTATTAAGAGGAAATTGTGAAAATCAAATAATGAAAATCAGCTTAAACTGTGTTGAAAGAGTAGTTGTTAATTAAATTTGTAATTAAATTGTCCTGAAGTGTCATTAATGTCAACATTATTGCTCCCTACTGGTCTTGATAAGTATTTCAGAGTTCTCTGGAATGTCTGTGTTCTTGTCTGAACAAATCTATAAGTTAGTTTCAGAAAGGAGAAAATATCTGTTTACTAAATATCACAGTATAGATGTCGGGTTTTGTTGGTGCAGACGTTGGAAAACTGGTCCGACCGGACCACCGTCATGTTTTACTCAAACGTAAGTGTCTGTGTTTGTTTGTCTGAGCGCGGCGCTGCACGCGCAGGCTGAGTCTTTCTGTGAGATTCACTGAGTTTTTCTAATTAAACCTCATTAACTAACAGAACATTTGTTTGCCCCATATTAAAACAAAGATGATTCTCTGTTTAACACCCCAGTCAAAAAAATGATATACTATATTAAAAAAATAAAAACAACTTGCCATGTTCTCTAGGTGAAAG